AAAATGACTCATGCCCGCGTTGAAACGGGACCAAAAATTCCCAAAAAGTAAAACTGGCCGACCAGTTGGGTCGACTGTACGATACAACGACTAGGAAAAAGCTTATAAAATATCTACTGATATTTCACTCTTAACTATATGGCGCTTTGAAAGTGTGGCCCTTTTGAGGTCACAAAACGAAACGAATAATGAAAGTGGATACCTTACTATATATAGTTTGAAATATCTATTGATATTTCATAATTAGCTGTGCAAAAATACTTTCGATCACGAGCACTTCGAAGATTCAAACCGGGCGCTGACGTACCGCGTTTTCGAGGTTAGTCCTGTTAGTGCAAGGAGTTTATGTGCCCTAGATTGTGATGCTGATGTTAAGATATCTGATAAATATCTCGGTAAGATTGTAGAACCGGAGTAGTAGATTAGGTCAATGAAGCTTAGGGAAGCAGAGGCTAGGCAACCTTGTTCGACTAAGCACGCCGCGATGCTAAAACAAACCCCGTCCATTAGACTGACGCCGGAAGTGACTCAACCACCGATTGAAGTAATGTACCGCCACATTTCGATAGACCTGCCGGAGGTGGAGCTAACACCATTCGACGGGAACCCCAGCAACTATTGGAGGTCTATTAGAGAATTTGACGATTTTGTCGAGTGTCGGGTCGCCGATCCAGTACAGAAATTCCTGTTCCTAAAGCATTACTGCCGCGGAAAGGCCCGAAACGCTATCGAAGAATGTGTAATGCTGCCAAACGAAATTGGGTATAACCGATCAAGAGACATTGTGAAGGAACTGTTCGGCCAACCGTTTTTCGTGGCACGGATGCTTATAGACCGGGTGCTGACCGAGGCCTGTAGAGCGAGAAACGAGCCCGAATAGTTAGTGACACTGTTAATGAAGATGCAAAACTGTTTCATTGCCCTGACTAGAATGAATTATGAAGCTGATTTGAACGCACTACACAACCTAGAAGCAATAGCACGATGCCTGCCGTCTGACATACAGCAGCGATGGGCGGAGGAGGCAGTGATTATTGGCCGTTTAGGAAGGGAGCCGAACTTCATTGAGCTAACAGAATTCATCCGAAACCGTGGCAAAGTCGCCAGCAGACGCCTCGGACAACTCGCCAGCATGAGTAGGTGAGAAGAGAGGCATCACACAAAAGAACGAACCTATGAGATCCCGAGAGGTTCTAGGAACACGAATAACTATGCGACAGTAGGGGAACGTGGCACCCCCAGATGCCCCATGTGTCGCTTGAATCACGAGTTATCTGCGTGCGAGAAGTTTGTGTAACTAGCAGTTCCGGACAGTTGGGAAGCAGCCAAGAGACAAGGTGCTTGCGTTATCTGTTTGAAAGGCTCACATCGTGCGGCCGCTTGTAGGAACCGTAGCAGATGCAAGGAAACGGGGTGTCAAGGAAGCCACCATATTCTGTTGCGTTCTGTAAGGAAAATCCAGTTATTGGCATCCCGAACCCCCAGTCTATGTTTACTGTCTCAATCGGCGGACAAGCAGGTACGCCTTGGGGTAACACCAGTGGGCATATTAACACCCAAAAGGGGGGGGGTAGTGAAGGCGATGGCGTTCATCGAAAATGGATCCGATACCACGTTGATGACGAAATGCTTCGCCGTAAACCACAACATCACAACCCGACCATCTTCTCTGACGATCAGCACGGTGAACGGCACCAAGGTTACGTCCGCCGATCAAGAAAACGTGACGTTGGTTTCGCTAGACAATGGGAAACGAGGAGAGGTGACGGAAGCTTTCACCATCACCGACTTGCCGATGCGAGCGGTGGAATAGATCGGGGAATTAGCCACGCGCTGGCCGCACCTACGAGACTTGTGTTCTGAAGAAGCCGACTCTCCCGAAGTCGATTTGCTAATAGGATGTGGCGTGCCAGAAGCACACTGGGTCCTGGACCAGAGACTGGGCTGTAGGAAAGAACCATATGCTGCTCGCACCATGTTCGGGTGGACGTTGTTCGGACCGTCTCACGCGACGAATGGTAAACCGTTATCAGTTAACTTCACTACCACCACCGCTAACAACGATACGATCGAACAAGCTCTCCAGGGGATTTATGATAATGAGTTCGATGACTTGAGCGACCAGAAAGGAGGCTCTTCCGTCGAAGACAACCAGGCATTAGCAATGGTCGAAACAGGGACACGGTGCCAGCCCGACCGGTTCGAGGTGCCGTTGCCATGGAGGACGGGATACGACCGATTGCCGAACAATCGCGGGATGGCCTTAAAAAGGTAAGAGTACCTTAAAAGGCGACTGGTCCGGGACACAGATCTCCGTCAAAAATACGCTGCGGCAATGCAACGGAACGTTCAACTGGGATAAATAGAATCGTTGGACGCCTCAAAACCACGCCGCCAAAGACTGTGGTACTTGCCACACCACTCGGTAACAAATCCCAGAAAGCCAGGGAAGATACGCGTGGTATTCGACTTTGCGGCGCGGTACGGTGGCCTCTCTATCAACGATTGTCTGTTGCAGGGACCGGATTGGACCACTCCCTTGATTGACGTGCTCAACCGATTCCGGCTAGGAGCAGTTGCAGTGGCAGCTGACATACCATAGATGTTCCTCCAAATCAAGATACGAGAGGATCAGCGCGAAGCCGTGCGATTGCTATGGTGGCCCGATGGTGACTTGCATAACCTGGCGGTATGCTACAGACTGACCGTCCGTCCATTCGGAGCGGCTTCCTCACCCTTTTGCGTAAACTTCGCACTTCAGCGAAGAGCTTCGCAATACGGAAACAACTTCCCGGCCTCGGTATCAACTAGCGTTGCGAATAATTTCTACGTCGACGACTTCCTGGGCGCCTTTGACGACGCAAGAGAAGCCTCGCAACACGTAATGCAGCTGAAGTATCTACTGGATAAAGGGGGGTTCCGCCTAACCAAATGGTTGTCTAACTCACATTTAGTTTTAGACAAAGTTCCCGAAGCTGACAGAGCGAGTGAGGCTCTCAATCTGACCACACAGCCACTCTCTATCGAGCCGACTTTTGGGGTGCAATGAAGCGCGGAGTCAGACGAGTTCATCTTCCAACTGAAGCTACCCGACGATGGTTGCTATCGTCGGTATCCAGCTTACACGACCCGCTCGGGTTTGCCCCACAGTGGTTGTTGCCGGGGAAGGTCCTCCTTCAACAACTTTGTAGAAAAAGGACAGAGTGGGATCAACCCTTAGACCAGCAGGACCGGACAGATTGGGAGCAATGGTTGACCAATCTTAGTAGGCTAGGTGAGATACGAATTCCGCGCCGACTCAGCCGAAGGAGTCAAGCGACGATGGGCGAACTGCACCTATTCTCCGACGCGTCTGAAACGGGATACGGAGCAGTAGCCAACGTATGTTGGCAACATGTGAACGGTGAGCCCAAGACAGAATTACTTTTTGCCGAAGCCCGGGTCGCTCCATTAAAATGCGTTTCGATAACCCGCCTCGAACTGACCGCAGCCGTGCCAGTGGTGCGTATAGCCAAGCAGTTGCCACAGTGCTTTCGTATATTCGAAGATCGCGTCACTTTCTGGACCGACTCCGCCATTATAATACGCTATGTGAACCACGTCAGCACTAGGTTCGGCACCTCTGTTTCCAACCGACTGACGGTGGTGCACGAAGAGACCAAGGTGCACCGATGTCGGTACGTGAAATCTGCGGATAACCCAGCAGACCACCGCTCCCGAGGTTTGAAATCATTGGAAAAGCTATGCGATTGGCTTGGAGGCCCGACCTTCCTGACCGCTTCGTCAAAGGACGAGAGTACAGTGCTTGCATTCCCCGCGCCCGTTGAGTTGATGAAATCAAAACGGGTAATCATGACGGTGGAACGCGACGTCACCTCCCCCTGATAAGGAAACTGGAAAGCTTCTCGCCCTGGAGCAGATTCATTCGTTCCGTCGCTTGCTGGATAAGATTGAAACATATGGTGATGATCATTACCGGATTTCGGCCTGACGAATCGCTGCGTGTGGGACCTTTATCGACGGACGATCCAACAAGAGCGCAGCAAAAAGTCGT